CCGAGGATTCAGTAAATTTGAAGTCAGAAATGTAAATAAGGTTTTGAGTATATCTGTCCTCAGCAATACTGTCAAAATTTCTTTTTCACTCCAGTTTGATTTTAGACAGTGTAAGGAACAGATAAAGCTAAAGGTCATCCGTAATGAGACACTGACCAACTGAACGAGATTTATCTCTTTAGCTGATTATGATGACAGACTTATAAATTATAAATTTATCAACATTTCTGCAGAATTTGTTGACTTCCATGCGATTCTTCGCTGTTTTCACTGGATCGAATTGTTCCATCCCTATTGGCATATGGGCTCATACGCGGACGTCTGCATAATGCTTCACACCCCTCTGCTAGCCACGACCATGTAAATTATCACAATAAATATCCAGGGAACATAGAGGTATCCACACACGAGTCCATATACCAACACAGGTCAAACAATTCGATCCAGCAAAAAACAACTGAGTCTCACAGGTATGTCAACAAACGGTAATAACTACTACCTGTTGTACAAGAGATGGATACCGTGGCTTAGTGACCCAGTGGATAACGCTTCAATGTCTGAAGCAATGAGAATTGGGTATTGGTCTTAGTGGGAGCGACATTACTGACTGTGGTGTGGGTACATCCAGCTGACGAGTCCTGAATATGACAAAAGGCGCATTCTGGATTCATCTGAAAGCCGCGAACCAAAGAGTTTTTACACAATAACCTAAACAGAAATCAGTGCTCCCAGTATTCTGTGACAAGGTACTGATGTTTCAGTCCATAGAAAATTATTTTTTAAGGATGTAATTTATTTGATCGCATTGCATATGTGCTTATATACAAGTATTTATTCTGTACTTTGTTGGTACCCATCTCTTGAAGTTTGTTATATAATTATTCTTACTATATGTAGAAAAGCAGTTCTCACCAGTTTAGAGATGTCGTTTGAAGCTAACAAGGCTGTCACTTCTATGAAAATTATTTAATAGGTGGGATAATGATGTTTCTGATATCAGATGGATCAAATGTAGTACCATAACCAATCAGAACTCATAAAGCTTCCTATGACACGAAATGAGATGACCAATTTGTAAATGATTCACAAATTGCACAGTATATGTTGGCATTCTTGACAACTGAGTATTTTTTAACTGCTCAACTTGAGTATCAACGAGATTTCCGTTGGAAACCATCCAGCCAAGATTACAAGATGTGATCTCTAACATAAAAGTCTCATAAACTAGTGAAATATACGACCACTGAACAACTCGTGTGGCTTAAAGCCACTGAAGCTGATCTGTAGATTTCACTTGTCAGAGGTGATTGATCTTACCACTTGAAACCCGTTTCACTTGTGCGGGGACGAGTTCTGTTTGACCTGGCAGGCGAGGTATACAGATCAGTGTGAGCGTTTTCTCACTATTCAGTGGTATATTTTGATGCTTTCTATAATGGCTGACCTATGGAAATAGTTTATTTTCATGATCTTTATTAGAAAGTACTGGAAAAGCAAGAAATTTTATGCGGTAAATATTTTTCAAGGTAAACACTTGTACTAATCAGTGTGCCACGTCTGGTGAATAAAACTAAAGTTTTCGCGTGGCTACGTTTTGTAGAAAAACAGAAAATATTTAAGTTTATAGGGTCACTGGAGAAGAATCGCTCTAACTACACCTTTGTCCACACCGATAAGGTATATCTGTAGCCTCACGGGAAGCCAGTTTTCTTCAAAGTTTATGAAATTGTAACAGAACCACTCGGTTTCAAATCGCTTAATAAAAAGATATTCCGTACAGTTGTAAGTAAACCTTTAAGAAGGATACTAGTGAGCCCACAATCTTCAGCTAGGAGCCTTTGTCGACCGACTTTAATACCAAGCAAACTGTACTTAAGCGTTATTCACCAACTAAATTTCGACCAACACTCCAAAATATGGAACCATTATGGTTGTCATCCAGAGACAAGTTATCAATCAATACAGTAGACTTAAGAATGCAGTGATTTGCCTTATATTGGCTACGAGACAGTCAGTAAATACTCTCGTATTGATACTCAACCAGATGGATTTCTTTTGCATTTTTTCAAGCATCAATAAATCCTAAAACTTTACATGATGATTTACTGTTAAATGTAATTACCAAATTACTATTGCATTTGTCTATAAGGAAGGTAACATTTTCTATTGTTATCCACATTATCCAAATAACCTATCAGACTGCTGGGAAAGTAAGCTAAGCGTTTTCAAATATATACGACAATGTCATAGTTTCCGTAAATTATAGAAAAATAGATAAATGACTTCATAATTAATAATAGCTAAATATGTTAGCATCGGAAAGCTAAAATTTTGACGAAAAAAAGATTTTCCTATCTTTAAAAATGAATAGGTGCATTTAGATATTATTCGACTTATAAGTGCATAATTAAATATGGTTAAATTACCTGGTGATTATAAACTGTTATTGTCTACACAGGGAAACTGATAATATTTGTCATTGGTGCTGGATATTTTAATCTTTTGTGTTATTACACAAACTACTCAATAAAGAAAATAAGTAACACCTGGTATTAGCTACAAAAATAGAAACCAATTTGTTGTATTCAGTGCGTGGTCAAGATATTGAATAACTCGTAAACAAACTTAAATTTGCAGATTGATGTGGTTTTTTGGAGGGCTACTTATCAGAAATTTATTCACAATGAATTAGAGACAGCATCTGACATAAAGGCAATTGGAAAATCACCCTGTTATAAGGAGACTAAATAAGGTTTCCAAGCATTAGATTAAATGCTTATTTAATCTTTTGTTATAAATACTCCGAGGATTCAGTAAATTTGAAGTCAGAAATGTAAATAAGGTTTTGAGTATATCTGTCCTCAGCAATACTGTCAAAATTTCTTTTTCACTCCAGTTTGATTTTAGACAGTGTAAGGAACAGATAAAGCTAAAGGTCATCCGTAATGAGACACTGACCAACTGAACGAGATTTATCTCTTTAGCTGATTATGATGACAGACTTATAAATTATAAATTTATCAACATTTCTGCAGAATTTGTTGACTTCCATGCGATTCTTCGCTGTTTTCACTGGATCGAATTGTTCCATCCCTATTGGCATATGGGCTCATACGCGGACGTCTGCATAATGCTTCACACCCCTCTGCTAGCCACGACCATGTAAATTATCACAATAAATATCCAGGGAACATAGAGGTATCCACACACGAGTCCATATACCAACACAGGTCAAACAATTCGATCCAGCAAAAAACAACTGAGTCTCACAGGTATGTCAACAAACGGTAATAACTACTACCTGTTGTACAAGAGATGGATACCGTGGCTTAGTGACCCAGTGGATAACGCTTCAATGTCTGAAGCAATGAGAATTGGGTATTAGTCTTAGTGGGAGCGACATTACTGACTGTGGTGTGGGTACATCCAGCTGACGAGTCCTGAATATGACAAAAGGCGCATTCTGGATTCATCTGCTTTTCATGAGCAGTTAAATTACCGTAATTTTTGTTCAGACTTGGAGTTCTCAGGATGTGATATTGAGTTAAAAATATGTATATTACTTTATCATATTTAAAATTATATAAACTTAGTAATTCGAACTGTGTAAGTAACAATAACAATGAAGAAATTAATTCACATTAATGGGTAAAATTTTGGGACGACTGATTATTTATTGTTGCTAAGTTACTAGATGGCTTCTGTTCTAACACTTTTTTCCTTAAACATGATGAATGCTTGGTAAGATATAGTCAAATTCTTGTCTTCAGCTATACGGTCGTACAGCCTTTTATAACTTCTTCCTTTCCCCTCTGAGGATATAAATGAAGAGAGCTGTGAATGAAGTGGATTCTGAGTTCCAGTTAAAATCGCTGTGGCTGGTTGCCTGCTAGAATTTAAATGTCTGTCAACCATAGTGTTAACTAGTTCAACAAAAGGCATAGCACTTACCTTACCGATAGTTTTCAAATCCTTACCCAACATAACATAGTCCTGTTTCAGTAAACGGGGAAAGATTAATAAGGAACAATAGAGAGGAGTAGGTAAAATGCAGGAATTAATAAATTGTAAAATCGGAGAGTGAGTTATGCCAGACAGTCTCCGTTCCTTCATGCAACACGTTAAGTGAGTAATTTTCGGGGAAGTCAACAAGACATGAGATGGCCAATAAAGGTCTGAGGTAACACTCATTAGAAGATAATTACCATTTGATTTACTTTCTGCACCAATACCATCAGTACAACAGGAGTTATGGAACCTAAGTAGTATACTCAAGTCTAATTTGTGCTAAATTTAACAATCTGACATTCAGAAGGGTAAAAGCTAGGACCATTTAGGAAAGACTTCTGGTCGATTTGAGGCAAGGTTGCTCTAAAGATTAACATATCATCTTGTATGTAAAGGGACAGAAGGCTGAGAAATACAATGAGATCATCACATTCCACTAAATATGTTTTCCCAATTATCAGTGGGACAATCAGTTCAAATTTTTCTGTTCAAATACTTTGGTTCCAAAAACTGTGATATAACAATACAGATGAATTGTTTGCAGTTACACCATGACTAGGGACTAGGGACTGAGGAACCTGCAAACATCTACTGTGAAAATAAATTAATTTTCATAACGAAGTCTCATACTAACTAGGTTAGTGAAGAGCATCTGCAAGTGGAAGCTATAATATTCTTCAGTCGTTCCTGTCACTTCTTATTTTCATTGTTGTCAGTAGATAGAGAAGTGTGATTTAGAATTTATAACTGAAATACTGAGTCAACGAAAGCATCTCTAATGCGACTTTAAGTAACAGAACGATGCCTTCCATCATTCACCGCAAGAGTAATGACAGATTATATGATTCCTCAGGGGCATGATAGCCGGTACATAAGGTAGATCGGTTTCCTACTGCATACTGAATCACATTTGTTTAATTCTTCATATCTTGAAAGCGTTAAGGAACTTGTCGTTTATTTACTTTTATGACAATGTTTTGTAAACCTTTCAGATCATCAAACAGATCACCTTACAACTTATCATCATATTCCAGTTGTCACCAGCATGAAATATCTACACATGGACATGAATGCCTACAAAAGAATCCATCGTTTCATGTGAATGAAACGTGTGTAAATACTAATTGTATGGGTAGTTGTAGTCCAGCGGAAACTATAGCTGCTGGTTCAACTTCAGGTTCTATGGGAGTATGCACAGGACATTCAATCACAAATGAACAATTTAATCAAAATGTTTGTATAAACTGTTATCCACAGCACAACTCAACTTGTACACATTCTGATTTTAATGCAAAAAAGATAAATGAAACTGTACCACTGTTGACAAGTAATCATTGTAACTGTGTTACATCGATCAATACAACATCACCCATAAATTGGTTACCCAACATGAGTGGATTTAATATTGGTATATCTGGTGGAGGATATTTTGAAGATAGACATTCTACATCAGCAGAAAGTGATATTGATGCTAATCATTCGATAAAAATAATAAATAATTGTCATGAAAATGGAAGAAATTGGGGAAATAATACTGGTTGTAGTAAATTCGCTTCAAACAAACAGTGGTCTAGTAAGTTCAAAACTAAAGTTGTCTTATACATATTTATATCGATTTTATTTTTTGGGAAATATTTTCATGGGTACACAGAAACTCAAGAAGATTTTCTTGTTACCATTCTAATTTATTTTACGAATAATGATCAAACTCAGGATAGTCTGTGTAGGGTAAATATACTAGTTTTTTAAAGGTGTCATTGTACTCTGATCCTGATAACTACATCACAATCTCTAAAAAGATCAGAACAACTAAGTGGAATAACACCGAAAACTAATCAAAGTGAAGGCAATTATAATAACAATAATAGAGAAAAGGAAAGGAGACGGAGGTTACATTAACAAAGGAGGAGGGAGAATGTTGTGGCCATGATAAAAACAGTGACTGCATATACTTCTTGTTTACTCATAGGCCAGGTTTCAGTTTATGAATAGCTAAAGCGTCCGCTGTTTTAAGATCAAAACGAAAAAAAACATGGGTGGTTTGGGCAAATTTGATACATAATAATTTTCCCACCCCATTAGCTTCCCCTCTTTGTTAATTTGACCTTTGTATCTTTCCTTTATCACTATTATTGTTATTATAATTGCCTTCACTTGGATTAGTTACCGGTGTTATTTCACTTAATTGTCTTAATCTTTTTAGAACAAGACATATAAGAGAACAATACTGTTTTCAGTTAGATCCTCTTTAGGTTTTACTCTAATACAATATAATCAAACCAATCATGTAGATTCGTCGGTTGATGTGATAAATGTTTACTATAACGATGGAGATAATAACCCAAATAAAAGTGATAACGTTGACTAGAGCGCATGCAATATAGATGATAATGATAAGAACCAAGAAAGTAGCATGAAAATGTAGACACTCCGACAATCAAAATGGATCAAAAGCTAGTGAAAATAAAAGTTACGTAATAGTGAAGGGTGAGGTAAGTGGATAAATGAAGCCTATAGAAATACAGAAAGTATACGAAAGGGGTGAAGAATCAGAAAATGAGTAGAGGAAAAAATAATTCGAATAGGAAAACTGAATGAAAGTTATTCCCTGGTCAAGGGAGAGATAAGGGATACAAAGGCTAGGATTATTATCTCAAATTCTCACTGCTTCTGCTATGTGTAAAAGACGAGTTTGAATAATATAAGAATAAAACTTATGCACTGTGGTAGAATGTAATTCCATTTTTATTGATTTATTAGATTTATCACACAGTGTAACAGTATGGTTTGCTGGATTACGTTTCGAGCATAATTTATTGTCCATAGTCATATCAAGATATGACTAAAAACGGGACGAGTTTGAATACCTTTTGAAAGATGAGAAAGTATGCGGTGTATAATCGTGAAAAGAATGTTCTTATCTACCGAGTGACCACTATCAACGAGATGAGATAAAACTGAGCTTCTGATGGATTTTATCTGTCCTTTTTCCAACCATGAAGGTAGAGGCTTAGCAACACGTTTGTCAAGTTGTCTAGTAGTACGCCCTATCTTTTTAGAGAAAATTGATTTCATCTTGACCAACTTGTCTAGTCCTATTACACAATACTTAGTTGATTTGCCACTTTCATCAATTTTTTTATTCCCTTCTGAGTTATATACTTCCTATGAACCATTCCATGTATTACGTAATCTACTTTGTTATCATTCACACTTCAATTGTTATCATAATCACAAATGCCTATGTCATCATCCACTGTATTATTACTGTCACCATCATCATCATCGTATAGTGTTTAGTTTACCTCACAGGATATAATTTTTCAAATATCATATGCATATACGATAGTACAGCTTGAAAATAAATCCGTTAAAAAGTCTCTTCGTTGAATATCTTGTTCTTGATGTTACAACGGGAATTACAAAATTATCACAATCTTTGTCGACTACAGCTTTAAACTCTAGAAACTGCAGAAAACTAAAGGTATGCATGTACTTAGTTTCAGTGACCTTATTTCATCCCTTGTATTCCTAGAAGGACAGCCTCTATCTATTTGCAGAATTTCGATTACCTTGTAGGTTCTGAACATTATTATTGCTCACCAAAATAGCTATTAAAAATTTTGATTTACTAAGGAAATCATGGTCAGAAATGTATCATAACTACTTAACTGGATCTCTAACTGATATTTCAAAACCACTAACATTTAAATCATTCTGACCACTTAGGGAACCTTTAAACATTTTATCAGTAGATTTTTCATCTCATAGATTTTACTGACTAGTGCATTATTTCGTTGGTTTTCAATTTTTCAAGTTGAAAATGTGGAGTCCATGAATAGCTCAGCTCAGCGTGAAATGACAGTCTCATATCTTGCTTCTGGTATTCAAAATCCTATCAATTGTCATACATCATATTGTCAGCAACAGTCAAGAAATATGGGTAATCTAAGCCCATACAAAACAACACCACCTCCTCATCCTCCACCAATTTCTAATCTGCAAGTGTCATACTGTAAAAATGTCAATAATTTACAAGGAAATTTTATTCGTTCACGTGAATTTCGAGGTAATCAACTCAATAAAATGATTGGAGAACATGGCTTAACAGGAAGTGGTAGTCTTACCGATGAAGTGACAACATCATCACCAGGAAGCAGTGCTACTGGAAGAACACAGGGTTACTTAAATCAAATTTCTTCTTCGCCGACAAATACAAGCTTAAATTTTAAAAAGTATAATCGAGTTATCGGAAAGTATGATGACGATGATGATGATGACAATGATGATAAAATGATGATGATGATGATGAATGATATAAATTGTAATCGTGATGGAAATTTCCGAAATTCAGAGAACAAATATGATGTACACGGAGGACGTATGTTACAAAAACGTATTTTTTATATTTTCTGAATAAATTTATAGGATGAAGTTGCTTTCGTAATCGTGGAAGTAAAAATTTGACTTGAATGAATAAAAGAAGTTGAGTTTTGGTAGATTCTTTATAAATGCAGCATATTTGTAGAATTCAACTGAATTAAAACATTTTGCATTTCCATAGAAGTCGATTCTTCAGTAGATAAAACCTGTTAAGTTATCACACTTATCGATACTTATAATTCTTCGTTGTTATACTCAATCGATTTGATACAGAATAACAGCGGAGAGTTACCCGTATGTCAACAAATAGTTATAACTAATACCCGTTGTTCAAGGGGTGGAAACCGCGCCTAAGTGTAGTAGTAGATAACGCTATGGGGCTTGAACTGTTAAGTAAAGAGTTCGAGTCACAGCGGAAACAATGCCACTTTATGAGGTGCTGGCATATTTAGCTGACGAGTCCTCAATAAGATGAAATGCTTGTCCTGAATTTTACTGCCAGCTACAACCAAGGGAAGTCATCGCCCTGATTTTATATGCACACAAAAGACATGACGTGAATAAACATTACTGTCAGTGAATCTGAGTTTATATGAGAGTGTCTACATATAAGTGCCTGTGAGTGTGTGTGCGTGTTAGCAAGAAAAATCCACTTTGTTTACAAGCCATTTAGGATAAACTATCCACATTATTTGGATAGTTGGGTTTCAATGTCTACCAAGTACATTAGGATTCAAAATAATAGTGATATTGTCCGCTGATTCTGTTTTACACACTGTTGTTGATAAAATTGAATGTGGAAGTTCAGTTTGAAAAAGTATATTAACAGACTGAAGTTGTACCATCAGCTAGTGACGAAGTTGAAAAATTTAAGACTACACTTTTTGACTACTATTACAAGTTTGTAAGTGGCAGATACAGAACAAAAAATGCTCTGATTAAATAGCATAAGGAACCCCTGAGGAAGCTTAAAATGAACGACTACCTGGTGATAACCAGGCCAGACAAAGAGTCAAGAATAGTACTTATAGAGAGAAAGGAATGCATAGATAATATTAATGTATTGCTCATTAATCATAGTAAACTTCAGAAGGCAATCATCATTGGGATCGGTGTGACATCTTAAGTAGAAAAAGAGTTAACAGAAACATTGAATAAGATCAATGTCTGATTTCATATAGTATGCGTCAGATGCCCATACCAGCAGAAACTACCACACTTAGACTATGATTTATAGAAAAGTACATAAAAACCAACTGTCTCTACTAACCATTCTTGAGATGTCCCATTCACCAAGCCATAAAACAACAAAACGGCTAGTAGAACATAGTTTGAAGAATTCTTTTAAATGTATTGAACGGCTTGAAAGCTTGAGAATAAATAATAAATTTGCCATATCAAATGATGTTTCTTCTCTCTCTTTATCAGTGTTCTTTTACTGAAAGCAATTGGTGTTATTTAAATTGAAGTCTACAAAAGTAGAATGAAGTTAGAGTTCTTGTCTCCACCCTGAATGATTTTATTCTGACATTCACGATGGATGACAATATGGTTGTGGGGTAGACATAAGTTTCTATCACAGGTAGTTTTTCCTAGCCAAACTGAAAAAATTGTTCTTTCTAAGAAGTGATCACTCAGTTAAAGATTTATGGCTGTTACGAAGATGATGCTTTTATAGTTTTTAGGATGAGGCTGATAAAAATACTAATCTTGGTAAACTAAGTAGAGTTCAGCCACTCATTATCTTCACAAAGGAAGAAGAAAATGATAACCTGATTTCTTCGCTAGGTATCTTATCAATGAGAAGGTCAGATGGAATGATGAAAAGGAATATTTACAGAAAAGTGACACCAACTGACCAGACCTTTATTTCTATAACCCTTTATCTCTCAGATGAAAATGAATCCCAGTTAAGCCATTGATTTATTGTGCAAAATTCATTTGCTCTGACGATGCCCTACAACAAGAGCCTAAGATTGCACGTGGGATGCTTAGCAGGAATGAATATCTTACTGTATACGTCAGGAAGCACACGAATGAGATACAAGCTAAGCCAAAAGTGACAATAGCCTCCAGGGGACCTATTTTCTAAAAACTTGAATTCCAGCGTGACTTTACCAGTGAAATTATGGCGTAGGGTTTGAGTTGAGCCATTCATAAAACATTCAGTGTTGGAGAACTATATCTTACCTGCAGACTTCCAATTCTGCATGCATAGCAGGAAGATAGATGTCTTAATTAGGCCTGTTGTGTGCATATTTACTAGTGTAACTGCTACTGTGGATTTGCTTATTTAGGGCGTAAAATTAAGTGAATTTATCACAGAATATATGAACATCATACTTGCTAGTTGATTCAGGGAAAAATGGAAGATAGTCAGATACGGAGTACTCGCACATTTGGTAGATATTCGTTATAAAGTAAAAAAAGCAAAGCTTTTTTAGTTATGCATCGTCCATCCAGTCTTCAGCATAGTTTACTTATTAGATTGTTACACAATGCAGAAGACATTGCTATACACCTCTGCAAATCCAATCAGTGCATTCAAAAGGATTTCGCACAACATATGACATTCACTTGACTATCACAGTAAATTAAAGTTTAACTTGAATTTATTTCCTTTTTGCCTAGTGAACTGAAATTTAACAGAAATCTTTCTTCTTTTTTCAGCCTATATTATCTGTCTCCACGCTTTTTCGTTCTTCTGTCTTTATGTACTTTGTTACTTTAACCACAGCTAGAACAACAGTTTCTGCAGAATAGCATAATTTCATTTTATTCCGAGATTTTTCGTCAGGTTTTTAACACGCTTAAACAATTTTAATATCAGATTATGCAAAAAGTTTGCATACTGGAATCCATTTGACAGACAATTATTGGATTTAAGAGGAGGTTACGTTGATATTACATAGTTTAAGAAACGTAAATTGAGTGAATATGTGTACAAAATGTGGTAATAGGTTTCAAGGCATTGTCCATCTTTGACCTATGAGGTCCACCACTCGGAAGTCAAGTGGATGCCAATAGAATACCTTGGTAGATAGTCGTGTTATATCGCGAAATGATAGAAGTAGGAAACTGTGGACCACTGAAATGGAACCCAGTGCCTGAATGGGGACGCTTTCTTCGTTAAACTTAAAGGTTTTGAGTTCAATCCCCGATGGAGTTGTGGACAAGTACTTCTGAGCAGTCTCTTACTAGGATAAAACAGCTGTCCAGTGCTTCAAGGTTTTGAGTGGTTCTCCAAATGATATCAACCCGTGATGAATACCACCTTAAAAATAAAGTCCTCATAAACCTCAAACTACAACAATATGACTGTCAATATATATATATATATATATATATATATATATATATATATATTAGATTCAACTAATATTTCTAAAGAGTTAAAAAATGGAGACAGAACATAGAGAAACAAAAATGTATTCTTCATGTTGAGAAGCGTTACGTAGAATATGTATAAATAATGATCAGACGTTTTAAGCTGGCTAAGAAAACAAGACATGTAGAATTTAGACAATGAGATGAAATGAAGTGAAATACCCATAAATGTGTATGCCTTAATAATTATGTGTGAAAATATCATGATTATCAGTAAACACAAAAACTCCCTTTTTCTATTGTAGGCATAGATTGATAACTGCTACCTTGTGAATATATGATTCCACTTTTGCTCGTTTCATAGCCACCGTTTCAGGGAAATGTAAAAGTTTGGATTCACCTATTTATTAATTAGTGTAGATGATTTCTGAATATCAACTTCTTATCCATCACTGTGAATAAGACAACTAGTAATAGGGTGGTTTAACACCCTTCCACCACTTTATCACAAACTTCTTAGGACATATTGAGTTATGCAGCCATAAACTCTGCTGTCTCTTCGTCCAATGTATATGCTTTTGCATTTAGTATATATGAATTGATGTACGAAACACTGGAGAACTTGCCAACCTTTAGCTGTCTCAATGAACGATTCGTAATCAAATATTTTGTATAATTTAATATTTAAATTCTTTTATATTGTAAGCAGCTGATGAGAAAACCCTGAAATAAAATTGACCTACGTTATTCTGCTAAAACTGTTGTTCTTGTTCAATTAAAATTTATTAAAGGAAGGAATTGTGCAAAAATTCTTCTATTGTAAGCATGTGAATAGGTGTGCCTAGCTTTTCACTCTTCATGTTAACTATGGTACAGTTAGTGAAAAGACGATGAGTTTCAATTCATTTTGTGCTTCAATTTATCTTGTGTAATTATCATATTTATAAATGTTTTTCCTGTATTTCCTTTAAGGTTCACTCTATGAAAAACTTTAATTTGTAACTATTTTTATGGATTAACCCAACACCATTAAATAGTACGTTCCTAGCAATTTTCAAATTTATTTATTAGTACAACAGGTTACGGCAATGACCTACTTAAAAGGAAATATATCTTCGATCAAAACATTTTCTAAAGTATGAAATGTCCGAGATATCATGTTCGAAACTATTCATTTGAATCTTTGATAAAACAAAAGGCTATAGGTATACATCTTAACTAAATATCTCACTAATTTAGCTTTTCACACACTCATATTCACTCATATATGCATATAAATTGCACCTCCACAACTTGATGATCTGAAAGATGATGGTAACATTTCATGCAGTTGATTAATTCACTGACGATACTATTTGCAGAATAAGAGGGAATCGTTTTAAGTCACAGGATTTTTATGAACTGTATACAACTTAGGTACGCAATCTATAATCCATAAACACATAATCTACATTTCAAGCAGTTAAATACCATAGTATTGTTATTGTTTCGGTTCTCAGTGGAATACAGGGATTCAGTAACATCTCGCCATTTCACTCTGTTCTCTACAATGTTCAAAAGCTTGCACCACGACTGCACAGAAGCTCTCATTTCTTCCTCAAACGATCTCCATGTCACCATCTCCTCGGACACCCAACTCATCGTTTCCACTTCGGCTTCCACTCGACGGCC